TTGGGGAACATGTTTTCCTCTTTCAGCATGTCTTGGATCTCTTCCACATTCGCGAAATGGGCTTTAAATCTATCGGTTTCAAATTCTTAAATTGTTTTTTTACTTCTTTTTTTAATCTTTTTGAATTTTATTGATGTTAGGAAGGCTTGTGTAGTAAAAGGGAAGAGCTTGCTATTCGTCGTCAGAGGGGGAGAGAGAAAGCACAGACAGGGACGGTCTAGATGAACGTCCCTCGCAGAATCTCAACCCAAAGCTTCCTTTGCAGTGGGGATCAACAGTACAGCGAAGCACAAAAGAGGCATGAGAGTGATGCCCTGGGCGAACACGGGTACTTTGAGAGCAGCGCCCTCCAGGAAGTGCAGAAGTGATAGAAGGCAATACAAAAGAGGTGACGAGGAAGGCAGGGCAACCGGAGAGAGAAGCAGCCAGGCGGACAGTGGTCAATGGCAGAGGCTGAGGCGGGAAGATTTGTATTTGGAGGTCGCTGCTGCCTGGCTGGCTGAGGATCGATACTATTGAGCTGTGCTGGACAGTGGTCAGTGGCAGAGGCCCGGGCGGGAGTGTTCGTATTTGGAGATCACTAGCTGATGGCTGGACACTTGACCTTCTGCGCTGTGCCTGTGCAAGTGCTGGGGTCGTGTGGTGGGGTGGTGGTCTGCAGTGAGACAGGAGATGTGTTGTGACCCTTCATCATCAGCATACTGCCCACTTCGATGCGACGACGACGACGAACGGTGCTGTGGTGGCGCTCCGGTTGCCTGATAAGCCGTGGAGCTCCACAGCACGGTCAGCCAACGATTGTGGTGCTGGATGACGGGATCGCGGGTTATGTCCAGCGCCGGAGACTGCATCTGTGAACAGTGCATGGGGGAAGTAGGCGCATAACGAGGCCTGGCGTTGAAGGATCCCTCAACACGGCCCGGTGTTTGGGACTGAACACGCACGTGAGACGATGTGATGAGGCCCGGAAAATTGGCGCTTCCCAATTCTGAGAGGGTAACATCGTTCCTCCCTGCCTGAATTCCCCGCTTCGGTTTTCCCGAAATTTGGCCCTTGCCTTCTCCTTCCTCCCGTATCCTCCATTGTTTTCCGAGAATTTGACATCTCTCCTCGCTTGTACAATTCATCTTTGCTGAATTTCATTTTCGGTTTCCGGCTTGATCTGCCACACTGACTTGGCTGAATTTTGAGCGATTTTGTGAAACTTGCTTTAATTGGCTGAATTTTGCATACCTTTTGGCAACTGACCCTTGTCCTCCTGCTTCTCCTTCCCCCCGCCCCGTCCCGGAGGTCGCTCGCATCCCCGTCACTTGAATGCATCGCT